AGGAATGCTTGAGAAGGTAGTTCATGTTCCTTGGCCTGTTTCATTTTGTCCCGACACAATTGCTTGCAATTAGCTGTTCTTAGCTCCATAGCTCGCTCCAGTTCCGGCACAGTAGACGTCTCCATGGCCATTCCAAATGCATGACTTGTGTGTAAAGGTTCAATGACGCTTACGAACAACGCACGGTCATTTGGTGACCGCATCTTATCCAAATACCACGCAAACGCGCGCTCACTGTGCGTGCTGCCATCGATGGGAAACAAAATGACGCGGCCCTTATCACCTTCCGACCCAGCATCTTGGGGCCCCGCACCATCTGATGCCATTTCGCCGAATGTCAGAAACAACCTTAGCGGTGACTTAATAGTGCGAATCCACCAGTGATTTGGCGAGGTGACACGTGGATTGCCAAGTACAGACGTCTGTGGTGCATTTGACCAATCAATAGTATACGTGTTCAAGCACAGGCGGGCTGCATGGTGATCAGTTAAGCCGGATGCTCCAATCGATATGACCAGCTGATCGTTCGCAATGCACGAACCATAGAGCTGCTCTGGGCAGTTTGTGAGACAAGAATATTAATTAATCCGAAAATCAGGCTAGCGGGAAAAATAGTTATCTGACCTAGCAACAGGGCTGCGTAATCATTTTCGAGTGTGGCTTTGATTACGGTAGGCCACGTGACTGGAATGAAAAAATATTCTGACTATTTTGCCGCGCAAATATAGGCATATATTATAACGTAGTTGATAAAGGCAAATAAACGAAAAAAATTGAAACAATGAACTGGTAAATGGGGAGGACCATGTGGCAACAACGACGGTGCAAGCCAGTTGGCAAGCTCGGTGAATATCCGGTGCTTCGACTAAATGCCCTAATATTCCGGAGGCAGGGACCGAGATAAGATAGTGTTAGGTGAAACTTCACATGGATCTCGCTTTGCCGCCCATCGTCAGGTGTTGTAGCGGCCGAGAAGCCTATACCGCGCAAGATTGGCCAAATGTTCGGGACGCTTGTCGGTCCGGCATCAATCCGAGATCTGATTGGTCGAAAGTTGGAACTCACCAGCCAATCATGACCTAGTATTGGCCGAATGCCTGTTGCCAATGGCGCATCCGGTAGGCGACGGAATTTCCAGAGTTGTCGCCACTTACGCTTTATATATGAAGAGGTGTAGAAGTGTCCTTGACTCCGTTTTGGGGGTTAATACACCTTTTGCACCTTTGGTGGTTGTTTTTGACGTGAGCGCTAGCTTGAAAGGCTCAGACCGAGAACTAAGCTGAGGAAAATGCCGTCACTACAAATAGTTCCTGTATATCAGCTGGCATAGCATGATCAATTCAATCGCAAACTCATGTAGCGCGCAGCGAGTATCAAAAAATACAGCGTATTACAGATGGTCGCTCATCTGTAACACCCCCCGGTGCCTAGCTGCCACGCCACCTAAACAGAGTACTAGGGATGAGATACTGCCAGGTTGTCTAAGCCTAGCCGGGAGCGGTCAAGATGCCGAGGTCGGGTTCGAAACACGGATACTTTGGGTCAGTGAGTCCGCACCTGTATCGAGCTCAACACTACAGCGTTCAATATGAGGTCCGGAAATTACCCAGAATGCATCCATAAACGACAAGAATCAGACAGACCGGTTAATCTCTTGCTTAAACAGGTCTCAGCAAGTAGGGGGAAAACAAACTTTTATGGAAAGTCGCAGGATGGTACTGTCATTGAATATTTAGCCAGTCCAGAGTATGGAGTGCCTGTTTTTGAAAGGCTGTATCTAATTGTTCAACCTTGAAATGGCAAGTTTTGATTCCAGTTATCACGCAGATGACATTGTACAAGTCAACACTGCCCTATATCACTACATTGCGTCTTATCTCGCACCTCAAGGAAAGCGGTTAGGTCGGTTCGGGCACTTTGTGTTCGACCTGAAAAACCACCATATTTTTCTATACACAAATGGCTCAGTGGTTGAAGCGCGAACTTACTGACCGGAAGGTTTATGGTTCGAACTCAATCCCGACATCTTTACTGTTCCTGCCTAGGCTTACGCAACCTGGCAGAATCTCATCCCTCGTGCTTCCTTCCGGCAGGCACCAGAAGGGTGTTACAGCTGAAGGTAAGTTATCTGCTGTATGGCATGACAAGTCATACAAGTAAAAACATCGGAAGCAATGGTTTTGTGTTACCAGTAGACACTCTGCTAAACGGACCTGAATGACCAAAGCCGATTGCTGTAAGTGCTGAAGAGCACGTCAAAACTTATCCCATTGCTGATGTTCGACACATACGTTGCAGACGGTCACTAACCAGAAGGCTTAGCCTAGAATCCCCTATACAACGGCTCAGAATGAAGGCTTTTCTTACCAGAGAGAGAGATGTTACAATCGTCACAGTTACTCACCCGTCGTGCGAGCGCTGAGAAGATGCGTATTTGTAGGCTATTCATACCCGTTTGTTCGCTACTAATCAAGGCGTCGTACAGACTCATCCGTTCAATCAAGTGATTGATTTCTACTCATTTGACATATTAGTCTCCAACCCGTTTGTCGGTTCTGGACTGTGATGTACCGATAAATGTTACTTTTCTTCTGTTTATGCGTCAATTTGCAGAACATAACTGGCCAATCGCTTCATCGACCCTCGCGCATGGTTGCAATAAATAAACCGCGGTATGATGTGGAACGGCACGGCAACAACTGAGCTCGGACTATTAGAGTTGGTACCATCCAGCCCGAAAAGTCAAGATTAGTTAATTAAAAACTATATTTCCACTGTATGAACAGCAGTAAAACAGGAATACCCGTTGCGCCAAATACACTCGTTTGTAAATTAATTTGGTTTTCACGGGAGACCCAAGTGAATCTCTCGTTCATGATGTTCTTCAACTGAATGTGCTGCACTCAGGCCGCCTCATGTTTCAGTTGGTACAATATTCGAGATATCGCAGCATATTTTCATTAAGAAAACTCGGGGACTGCGCCTATCTGATGAGCCCCAAGAAGGGCGAAACCGGTCGTGGACTGTCGAAGAGTTTTCGGCAACCTTGTGAGTGGTTTCCTTTATGAGGAATACCCGTTATCCTCACTGCTTTTTCAACCAGATAATGGGACAAACTCATAGGGCATAGCGACAACTTGGGGATTTTCTAAATCGAGTACATGATGGTCTCGGCAGCGTTCGGCCCATAGTCGGTTATGACAATCACAACATTTACATGGTTAGTCTCCAAAGTAACAAAGGCTAAAACGAAATCTCCAACCTGCGCCAACAAGCAGAAACACCAACCTACCATCAAGGCATCAATCTCCTCATTTCACTTGATTCCCATATCCAGGGCTAAGTAAGATTCAGTATCAACAATGTCAAGAAAGACATCCTAAAACTGAAGAACGCCCTGTAGTGTAAGAGAGGGAGAAGCCTTTATACAATGGTTTGGACCTACAAGACTTTCACTAGAATCTATGGACAGAGTCTGCCTGAATGCCATCCATAGAGTTCGCCAATTCTGTCACAGAACCGTATAACGCTCTGCCCTTCCACAGTGCAAATCAACGTTCTTTGTGGAAAAACCTGTCTATCCGATTCCCCGCAAGGTTTCGTGCGGCTCCTGAGGAAATCAAAAATGTCTCAACACAATCGAGTATATCATTTATAAGTCGAAATCCGAAGCTCTATATTGCTTCCAAGCGTCGCGCGTAGAGTCAACACACACCCTCAGGAGTAAACCATCGTACACCAAAACAGCGAGATGGCTCAGTCACCAGAGCGCGAATTTACTGAAAAAAAGGTCCGTGGTTCAAACCTGACTGCCTCTCGATTTCTCCTGTTTGGGCTTGGGCAATCTGGCAGTATACCAGCCCTCGTGCTTCCTTCCGCTGGGCACCGAAAGGATGTCACAGCTGAACGATTATTAATAAAGCGAACATGCAGCTTGACAAAAAAGCGTTAACACAACCGTGAATTGCCAACAACAACAAACAATACGCACCTTCCGTGATGAGCACCTTGTACTCCGTTCTCGCACTTTACGCAACGCATCAGATGGCACCAAGTCTCTTTACCCTCTACTTTATCTTCAGGAACGAGTATTCAACACCGGTGTTTCTGTCAGTGGTGACGGTCACGAGTCGCCTTATCAGCCATTTATTCAAGCAGTATACCGGCCGACCGGCTCGTTTTACTTCTTTAAACGAGTCTTCGGCTTGGAATGATCACGATAAACGAGTGACTTATTAAGGTAGCATTATGGCATGCTAGGTGAATATACCCATTTAATTAAGTAAATCAAAAAGTGACAGTAGCTAAATTATAGACCGGAGATCAGGCGTCCAACAAAACACCGCCGGATGTTGACTACTAATAAGTGCTGAACGCGAGCTTCCGCGAGACTACTGCGTGTGAAATTGAACCGTCCACTTCTGCAGACTTAGCTGGTCCCCCCGGAATAAACGCAATGGGAAGCCGTTAATAAGGGTAGCAAGAATTTAATAGTTCATAAAAATATTCGATAAAAGCGTCACACTCGGATACAGTTCGAATGTCCAGTTTCTCACTTCTCTTCTGGAGGTGGGACAATCACGACTGGTACATGTGAGTGGTGGAGCACGTAATCGCTGACACTACCCAGGAAGGTACGACGAATGACGCCCATGCCGCGACTGCCCATAACGACGACATCACCGTGATGCCCTCCCACAGCCTTGATAATAGCATGACCGGGTCGAGAATCAACATGTAGGAACGCTTCAGCAGGCAGTGCAAGCTCCTTAGCATGTTTCATTTTGTTCTGACACAACTTCTTGCCACTAGCAATACTTGACTCCATCACCCGGGCAATGTCTGGCTGCATAGGTGACTCCATTGACATTCCGAATGCAGGGCTTGAGTACACCGGTTCAATCACATTAATGAATACAGCATGATCATTTGGAGCTCTCATGTTGTCCAAATACCAACTGAGTGCGCGCTCACTATGTACGCTACCGTCGATGGGAAATATGACGATCCGAGAGTCTCTACCCTCCGGTGCAGAAGGTTCACCCTCTGGTGAGGCAGTTCCAACCTCCGGTGCGTTTGCCATTCCGCCAAATGTCAAGAGCAGCAGTGTCGTATGCAGGCCCATTATTGGTCTGGTCGGCACAAGCGCGATTCGTCGAGCGTCCGTGCTTGTGCCGCTGTGGCCAACTGACCAATCAGCGGCCCGTCTGCTCAGGTCACGGCGATGGACTGACACGTCCGCGAGCACCGGAACGACGGTATCACCCGGATCTCTTGTCAGCTAGCAGCAGTGATGGACAGAGATAATTTTGCAACATGGCGCGGTGAACCAGCCAATACGCGCAATCACGAGCCTCACAGCTTAGAACATAGACTGAAGAGTGAAAGCAGCAGTATCCACGACTAGAATACTCAACTGAATTTCGGCTAAATCTCTTTTATAGTATTGTTCAAGTGAATGTGCTGCGCAAACCCAATTAGTGTGGGTGTGGGGAAAAGAGTTAGGGTTAAAAATGGCATAAAGAGGTCAACATTAGGACGAAGTCTTTCCATTTTCCATAATTATGAGGAGTTGTTTTACTAAATAGACGACATTGCCACAAAAATTCCTTGCAGGAAGTTGGTCGAATGTGCCTATCCAGGTAGGTATATTTCTCAAACGGGCTTTCGCAGCGTAACACTGGTTGTATGTTCACTCGTTTAAGTCTAATGCCAATGACCGAATGACCAAGGGGATTATTTTGATCGGAACCAGAATTCACCTCACGTTTTCTAATCGCAACGAAATTACCGCCGTGGGACGGTCGAAGCTGACTGTTCTGTCTGCTGCGGAACATTGCATACTGATCGGCCTTGTCATTCAGGCTCGTAAGGTCACAGTGGATCACGTTCTTAGTGACCCGCGCCCCACACCGGATACGGTCGGTATAAAGCGTACGGAAGGCTAACTAGGAAGATGCGATAAGAACCCCTAACCCAATGTGAGTGTAAACTCGAGGGAAAAAGTGGTGCTTAGCAGAAGGAAAGGGGTAAGAAATTACGTGGAGCGTTGAAAATAGGCAACCCGGAGCGGAAAGCCGGTCGATGGATTTGTTATGAATCAGTGACTGTTTCGACCGATTAAGTTTATCCTTACAGCCATTGCGCAATCTCTCTAGTTCATTTTTACACGAAAATCGTTATCTTTATAATATTTTCGTGGAAAACGTTGAAACTCCCTTTCCAAAATGTTGTGCCAGCAAGCTACTGAGTAGTCCTTCAATTGACAAGGGGTACATACTCTCACGGCAGAGTAGTTAGGTTCCAAGCATCCCAATGTAACAAGGAAGGTGTATTGCGTACGCTTCCTATGATGATGAAGCTGAGTGGCATCCATGACGAGATGCAGCACAAAAAAGTGACCCAACACCAAAATGAAAACAGAACTGTACAATTGCCCGGAAAAAAAAACTCACCACAAACAAGCCAAATGGTTACGACCGGCGATGTTCATGGCACACGAACCACAAATGCCTTCGCGGCACGAACGACGAAAAGTGAGCGTGGGATCTTGTTCATTTTTAATCTTTATCAGCGCATCAAGGACCATGGGTCCACATTCGTTCAGGTCGATTTTATAATCCTTCATGTATGGCTTCTCCCCGGGTTTGTCTGGGTTCTAGAAACAGAATGAGACAAAAAACGTTTCACATGAGCTACCTGAGGCACAAAATGGTCCTAATAATGAGCATCGGTGAAACTTGTGGCTACAAATATCCCCAGCTGCAACTTTGGTTCTCTTGTTATTCGAGTCACACTGACTGGCTTGCCCAATGCACAGAAGGCAATCACGTAGCTACGGGTTGATGTGTGATAAATGTAATGCGCAGCTGGTGAGATGTGTAGTGACCCAGTCACCCACATACTTGACCGTTCAACTCACAGTCGCTCACTGGATCGCGAGGCTTGTCTTTTTTCTCATACTCATAAACACGTCACACTAAGCTGACTCATCAGACAGCTATTGTCTGCACCGCCTAGTCAGCGTAGCAACCACTCATGTGCCGACGAGCCCACGTAAACGCACTGGGACCTACATTAAGGGAAACCGAACCTAGTCAGGACACAGACTCGCGCGCGCGCAGGGAGCAAGGAGTCGGCCCAAGCACTCCAAGTCTACGGACAACCATGGGACACATGTAGCGGCCAAACTGCGGAGAAAACGCGTTACCGCCGTCCGGACTTTCACCAAGGGACTCTCACATACGATAAGTTCCTTTCTGACTTGCTCCCATTTCGCATTGTATTTATTTTTATACGAGTTGCAACCCTCCACTGTCCACCATACTAAAAGCTTCTATTAGTGCACATACACCTTCTGATTTGTATTACGACTATCACCTGTGCACTAATAGATGCATTGTCCTCTTTGAATGAAAAAGAGAATACAGCATCAGCAGGATACTTTTGACGGTGGATAACTCTCAAATTTGGACAATTTGGATGGAATTCTGTAGAAAATCCTGTGATATGAAAACAACCCCCTCCAACCCAACCAACGGACAATAAATTGCAACCCATGGGCTAAATTCACCCACAGCCAAGCGGCATTTTAGCTTATAGTTTACGCTCACAGACATAAAGAAACCATCCGCCTGTAATACCCTTCCGACGCCTAACTGCCATGCCACCCGAAGGAAGCATGAGGGATGGGATACTACCAGGTTGCCTAGACAGGGGAAGTCGAGAGGCAGAGGTCGGGTTCGAACCACGGACCTTCCGGTCAAATCACTTGAGCCATCGCGCCCCCCGCTCACAGACATGGTCTCATCTAGTGTGCAGCTGCAGTGGGGGAGGGTAAATAATGATGCTTCAGTAGGTCAATGCAATACATCGGCAAACAGTAAGTGAAGTGATGATCTAGCTTCTGGTTAAAAGGAAGAAACGGCAGAAAATTCAACAGATTTCAAGCAGGCCTTGGAATTAGTCAGGGGTATGTACGAGTTTGTAATTCAGTTGCAGACCTCTATAACGATGCATACTTTGTACCGGGAAGAACCATTTCCAAACTCTCCGGAAAATAATGAACACTTTCCTCTTAGTGGTCATAATATGGTCACTTTTGGTTTTAACTTTTCTCGACACCATAGATCTGGGAGGGAGCAGTAATGCAGTCGAATGCTTCCCGCAGATGAGTAGCGCTTAGACATGTGGAAATGAGTCGTACTGACACCAATTAGAGTGCATAAGAATGAAAGTAAAATAATCGTTCAGTCGTTACACCGTTTCGTTCAACAGTTGCCATGCCACCTGCAGGTGGATCGAGGACTGAGATACGGCCGGGTTGTCCAAGGCTAGACAGGAGCAGTCGAGATACAGAGTTCGAACCGTGGACCTTAATCACTGAGCTACCTCAAGCTCGCTAATTATGGTCGAGATCACGCGTTGCAGCGAGCCAGTCTAGTGTGATCCAAGCTACCCGATACTCACATGGAACAGGCTAATGAATCTACAGTGGCTGTCTTATAGTGTTGGTACTCCTTCAGGTGGCGGATATTGTGTGGGCCAAGCAAGTAGCTGAAATGGGTCAGAAGAACTACGCTAGATAGATAGTCAACCAAATCTAGCGCCAGATTCGAATACTCATCATCAACATGGTGACAAAAGAATACTATCACAGTGGTACAGAGTGGACTCATCCAAAATCGTCAGCAAAAATGTCTGCACTGCACCTGAGGAGCTCTGCAGTGTTTCCTTATAAACTCGTATTCCGCATATCCCTCCTATGTAGCGCTTCGGTTTTGCATTAGGACTCCTTCATCGCTTTCCACAAGTTTCTGGTGGGTTCACTTCCAGACACAGCACAGCTTGATCTCGTTTGGCAAAGGTTTTACAACGACCGTTAGCACTCTGATTACTTTGTGGTTAAAATGATGGAATTTGGATAGTGGTGTAACAGTACTACTTTTAATCCGCACCAAGAATAAACAATTTATCAAAGATACCCGTCTAGTCATAGAAAACGGAGGACGCAAAGGAAGTCCGTTTCGAAAGACCACGCGAGGCAAGTAGTCTGACGCTTCCTTCTGATGTGGGGTCTTAATTCGCAAATGCACCCCTGTCCGAGACTGTCAACTTTAGCTGTGATCGCCTGGTCACGAACGACGTCGAAATCGGAATACCCTTCGTAAGGTTGCTGAAAACTCTTCAACAGCCTACTACCGGTTTCGACCCTGTTTGAGCTCATCAGGTAAGCCAGTCCGGCTTTCTGTAAACCTTACATTCCGCTTGAAAACAGACGGTGGCACATCAAATATAGTGCAAACATGAGGCGGCCTTTGTGTTCAAAAAAGTCGCTCAGCTGTAACAGCCTTTCGGTGGCTAGTTGCCATGCTAACCGAAGGATGCATGAAGGGTGGGATACTGCCAGGTTGCCCAAGCCTAGACAATCGAAACCCGCCCACCCATCGTTTCGCGTCTAAAAGATAGACTTTCAGTTCAGTCCAACTCGCTCGTTCTACCCTCGTCCATGGTGCAAGGTACTTAGTACACAAACCAAGTTTGTTTCAACGGAGTTCGGAACACGTCCCAGCCCCTGTATACACTGGCACAGCCGAAAACATCAGTAGTTCGACTGCTGATCATCTGACACAAAAGGGCCACTCAGTAGGCTGCTCGAACCTGCTTTCCAAAAGGACCGCTTAAACGGTACTATCAAGTAATTATATACTCGGAGATTTGAGGCTTGAGCTGCAGAAGACCTCAGTAGTGCACCTGTCAACTGACATTTGGGTTGTGACTTCAGCCACATCCGATTAAGCTTTGGTGTTTCTTTACCAAGCCATTGGGGATTGAGCTCCCAGAGTCAATCTAAATACATGCACTATTGTTTTGAATGTGCAGTGGGGTGAGATAATTTCCCGCAGAGAAGCTTCTTCCGGTTAAACCGAGGTGAATTACCAGTAAGTTGCCCCGCTGTTACCGCGTGTAGCATTCTCACAAGTCGCACTAACAATAGCCGAACGCTACCACCAAACAAAAACATTTCAATCACACAATCGATAACAGAATATGATATTCTGACTTGTAGTATGCGTGCGCCGCAAATACCTGACAGTAAACTGCTCCTTTCAAACAAAAGCGTGGACTTTTTTTCATTCGCCTTCTTTGAGTGGCGTTAAACATGCATCGATAGCCAACCTACGATCGTTTTCTGAAATTCTCTCCATTTCCCAAGTTTCTCAGCAGGATATTGCCGTCCGTGTGCCCATACTCCGCGCAGCATACTCACTTAATTCATTCCCGCAAAATTGACCAGAATATTAGGCTTAATTCTCGCGATCTTCTAGCAATCTCCCCGCAGGGTAACTGTTCAAAACATCGTAACTGTACCAACGTTCGTTTCACGCAGCAAGCCTGAACTTGCCTGAGCCGAATAACACTCAGAGATTGTGTGGCATCATTCCATCACTTAAAATAGCTCCCCTGAACGAAATCGATTGATGATAAATCCGGAAAGACCGTCGTTCATCCCTACTTATACCCTCGTAGATTTATCGCGGAAAGCCCCCCAAAATTTACGACAAGTAGTGCAAGCTTGCTGAAAACAAATAGAGGTATGCTCCTTTTGTGGATCTCTTTGGAGATCACTGAGGCGTGTGGGTATAAGTTGCACTCAGAAAATTAAGCCATGTTAGTCGCGGAAACACTGTTAAACGACTTGTTCGCCTAACGCACTTGCCAATCCACAAACTTCAGAATGAATTGCGTAGACTGAACTAAACTACTTCTGTTGTCCATCCGTTGATGCCGAAACGGACGCTTCACCCAAAAAGACCATGTGAAGTAGCCTGATCGAAGAAACCCAACTGTTTCGTCAGGTTATTCGGTCCACAATCCTGCGGTTTCCCTAAGTCTAGACGGCACAAATGTTCCCGTATCACCATTTGTATCACGTATCCTGAAACAGCAATCTCCTTGATATTCGTCGGATGTTCATCTTGCATTCCACCCGTTCTACAGTTGCCTCGTAGCGGCACTTATTCAGTTGCTAATGTGGTGGATAATGAGTGCCAACCTTGATACCAGTATTCGTGATAAACAGGATTCTTGTCTATTTTTTAGTCAAATGAATTGCTATTTTCGTCGCACTTCCATACCAAGGACTAGGGTAAAGTTTTGCACATTCATACGATGTGAGGTCCCATATGATCCTTGTTTCCAGTATGCCGAGACTCAGGCGAAAAAAGGTAAGAGCTTGGGGACCAATTGATTTTTGTATGGAATGAGCACAGAAACAAGCGAGCACATGCGGACCTCAGTATCCTAGATTCCTTCATTAATCTTGGCTGGTCCAAGCAGAGATCGAAACGGTGCTTAATCGCCGAAGGCAGTATCTTCAATAGCGTCACGAATTTTGAACTACTGGAGCTAATCGCTAGTAGCTCGAACTGCATGTCTCGAAATCATGTCCACTCCCAAACAGTATGACGTCACCCAAGTATCTTTCATTCATAGTTTGTATACCTAAACCTCTCCTCTTGATAAACGTGAAAAAAACTCCGCGTGAAACTGATTCACGACAGACTATGGGGTTCGGATATGTGTATGTATGTGTACGCGTCTGACTACAAGACCTTGATGACGTGAGATATGGATGGAGACGGTGAAACATTGTCGTCAAACATATATCTGTGAACAAGCAGAAAAGAAAATACTCAAAGGACGGAAGACAAGCGTTGAAATGGAAATAAAACTTGACCGCAGAGTGAGTTTTAGACTACGTTTAGAGAGACGAAGACCCTTCCAAGGTAGCCAAGAAAAGTGACAGTTAACTCACATATACCTGCAAGAATCACTAAATCAACGCAGTTATTTATCGGAAAGAAATTTTAATGAACATTGAAAAGATTGGTTCAGCGTGAGCGTTCGAAATTAAGGTGGCAGATAAACTTACTCCTGGGTATTTAGAGCGAATACCAGAAAATGTATAACTACGGTTGGTTGTATGGTACTCCATACCATAAACAATGACAGAGCAGAATGAAAACGCCATTTATAGGGGTTAAATCGTGTATTCTAGGCTTGGGCAACCTGGCAGTATCCCAGCCCTCGTGCCTCCTTCGGGTTGCATGGCAGCTAGGCACCGAAGGGGTGTTACAGATGAACGATTTATTTTATTATTTTTTATTTATTCATTTTGAGGGAGGAAGAGAAATATGACTCAGAAAATCTCCCCAAGTGTTAAGTGTTAGATAAGCAGGAGAATGGTGGAGAACAGTTGAAAGATCTAGTCGGTCAAATGGCCTGGAAGTCATCAATCGGTTTTGCAGGCACACTTGACCATCGTTCGCTCAGGATATCTCAGCGACTAAGGCACGAACTTACTGACTGGAAGGTCCGTGGTTAGAACCCAACCGTGGCATCCTGACGGTTCCTGTCTGGGTTTAGGCAGTCTAGCAGTATCTCTGCCCTTATGTTTCCTTCGAGTGTCACAGCTGAACGACCGCTATGATTGATCTAAATTTTTTGTCCGTTTGCCTTTTGTTGATAACCAACCAAAAGCCAACAAAAATTTCGACTGAAACGGTGTAACGACGGATACTACTGATGGGGCATGCGAGTAGTCTGCGGTTTGGTGTCTACTAATAAACGACTTCGCGGCGAAGAGCTTTCCCCCTTACCAGTGTTACTATGGCTTGACATCTAGAAATTGACTAACTGTCCCACACTGCACGGTGGTGCAAAGGTTGTGCCATTAAAATGTGGTCAGAATATCGAACAATCACAATCAAAGTTTATTTAGATCAGCGCCTCTCGTCCGGTCATAAACACTCTGACGTGATCTAGAAGAACAGTTCATGATGTGCTCTATAAATGGAATTCCAGCAGTGGCAATTATTCACATCACACTCGGATTGCAGCAACATTGGATGGGCGTTCCGATACCATTGGATGAAATCCAATCAAGTAGACCAGTGGCTTTGTTGGTTTGTCTTGGTTAGCGAGGCGATCGCTTGATAACGCTACTAGACACTTCCGCAGATTTCGGAGCTTATTACTGATCTGAAGCCGAAAAGTTGGTGTTAGGACAAGAAAAGTATGACTGGTTATCACATTAGCTTTGGATTCTGGAAGTCGAGTAGGGACGAAGGAGACGCATTGGTCGATTGATTAGACAAGAACGAACGAACGAGGACTTCCTGACTCGAATGCCCATGATCTTGCACCTCCTCCCAAAGGATGTAATGAATTAGCTTGATATAGAACAATAAGTTGATGGCTCATGATATGGAGTTGACGATGGCATTATTCGCTGGCCTTAACAATTTCGTTGCAAACGTTTTGTCACTAGTCGAGGCAGCACCATCAGCGCATACTGGTGTGTTGGTGTGTGGACACAATCCGACTGGTGACGAAACGGAATCGTGTAAATAAACGCTAGCAAACACCATAAAAACGAAAATCTTAACCAAAAACAACGGAAAACGTAACGCACCCATCGGTAAACGGAAAATGTTTTCATTCGGGGAGCTGTTGCCGCAGCAGTTGACGCATGGCGTACCTAAAAATGGGAAAGATGACATATAACACTGGATCACATCGACTGTATTTGGCGAGCGCATAAAACTCGGACGTTGGGAGAACACGCACAACTCCAAAAAAGAATAACTTGTATTAGTGAGTAAAACAAAAAGAGGTGTCCAGTGGATGCTCATTGTGTAATACACGGATGGAGAAGTGATTGATGGAATGATCAGTAAAACCCACGCGATCCCAGTGAAAATCGCCGTTTGTGATAACAACCAGTACCCAGTAATCGCACTACCCATGTTTATGAGAGTACCCAGTCTACATAACTGTGCATGCCTACGAGCCGAGCAAGCGTGAGCGCTTGCTGTCATCGGTCATATTACGAAGAAGTTGAAAACCGAGTCTCAAACGACATTAGCTTCTCTAAAAGCACATGACTGCGGTCATTTTGGGAGGGACACCATAAGAAGCAATGAGAAACCATACAAACGAAAGGAAGCTCTCAAGAAAGTTACAGAAAACAATTCACCAGTCGAAATGATGAGTGACAAGACTGAAATAGTCTGAAATGACTTAAGACAAACCGCGATTCACCGGACGACCGAACTTAGATATAACGCCGTAACTTAATTACACTCAGATAGCTCAGCGGTTAGGACGCGAAACAACCGAATGGAAAATCCGCGCTTCGTCTAAAACCTTGGTGCTTCCATTGTTCCTGTCTAGACTTGGCGAACCTGGTGTATCACTTCCCTTGGGTCGCATAGCAGCTATGAGCCGACAGTGTCACAGCCGAAATAATGGTAAAGCCAGAGCTCAGTTCTCGGTCTGATCCTCCCAAGCTGGTGGTTTCAGCAGAACATCCAGTGTACTGAACAACCGAAACGAGTAGTATCTAAAGTGTTCACAACGACAATGTTCTGGGAGTTCGGACACCTGGACGTGTCACCGGCAGGCGGTATTCAACAGATACTAGAGCATGCGATTAATCAGAGCCCACCTTGATGGACTGGACAGAGGCCCGATCTTCTAACAATTCACATGAGTCACCATCATGGACAGCATGACACCAGTGTTCAACTCCGATGCTTCGCAGTAAGAGTAAGGAGAATTGGCGGTTGCAGCACCCTACTGTGTGCGGCGAGACCTAGCACTTTGCTTAACAAAAGCCGAACTATTATTGTCTTCTATCAACACCCAATTGAAATGACTTTCATGATTTCCACTTGATACCACACCTAAAAACGATGGTAGGTACCAGTATCCCAGTCCTACTGGTGGCATGGTAGTTAGACACTGAAGGGAAGCCACAGCTGAACGCTTTACACTTTTCGGCATGCACAATACTTGGCCTAACTAATGCAGCTTCTGGTACAGGACAAAGTCATCGACGTAAGTCCACGTTGCATGACCGAACACCTGCTTTCCAGTTGGCTCGTTATGGATTTGCCGACAATAACCCGCATGAGCTATGGTTATGAGACAACGATTGTCGAACACCTACCCTTGCAGGCCTTTCCCCTCATTCCCTCCCAACCCACCGTGCATTGCAGTGCAATCAACCCATCTGCCAATCCCCCCAGCCACCATTCCGTGTCTAAACCTTGGCCCGGAAAAACAAACAAAAATAACCACTTGTTGACCTCAAAAGATCTGATCCACGTTGCAGCCTTTAATGCCCGTGCTCTGTGACAAATTGGACAACACATATCCCTTGCTGAAACCTTGCTTTCCCTGTGTTGATGTCCGAAAAACGTATCAAAGATCCCACGTCGGTCGAGCTCATCAAGCAACTTAAGACGGGCCCAGATGTTCCACATTTCACTCTTCGGGTATCTGGTGATCCTGACGCAATAGCCCGTGGTATCTAAAGCATGAGAGTTGCACCCAACCCCAGGGCTAAAACCACCTTACTGGACTAGACCCCAGAAAACAGTCGCCCGTGAGTTGTGCAGGTCGATGTGGCAAACGGTGTTCATTTGCCGTATCAACAGACGACAGACTGTTGATACAAACTGCAGTTTCGAGACTGAGAAAGACGAGTTTCACCAAGATCTGTCACGACGGCTTCGGTCGGAAAGGACAGATATAGTAATCCTGGTGGATGATACAAATGCCCAAGGTGAATGATAAGTCCGGAAGAAGCACTGCTAAGTGGTGGTAGATTTCGAATTGATGCTGAGCGTACGGATAACGGGGAGCGGCTTCTTCTTCAGTGTGTGCGGATCATCGTCTGTTCCCGGCCAGTACGAACTTCCAACACAACCGCTCACACCGAGTTACTTGGAGGCCACCTACCACAAGATAGTCATGGACTCACTTGAACCATATGGCTATCAGTTACCGATGGAGCGCCTCAGTCAAGGATTGTGGTTCCTTCTGAGGTACGCAGCTTGATTCTGACCATGCCATCGTGCAGGCCCGGTTAGTACTTCGCTTTCTGTAAGCATTACGCGTGCCAAAGAAGAGCGGCTCCGTTCACCAACTGTGACAAGTTTCAGTAGATGAAGAGTATCGAGGTGATCTGGGTAAAAAGCTACTGGAGACACGGTCAAGTGGATGACGAAGATTGCTTGGAAGTTGCATGGAGGCGAGTCAAAGAAGCATGCTCTCAGCTTTCAGAACTATTTGTCCAGGCCACTTGGCTCAACTAAATGAACACTGCATATCTTCGAGGTCAGTGGATCTTATTGCTGCCAGAATGGTCATACCAGCAACGAGCGACCGCGATGGCGCACGCAGATCCCTCAAACACCAGATAGTCGGGAGCTTGAAAGTCAGAGAACGTTGGTGCATCGCGTAGGCCTAGGAGATACAGATAGCTTTTGCTGCAGGCAACGACCGAGCCCTGTTTCGACTGATTCGACCAACCGATCAAAAGAAAGTGCCAGTGAAACAATACGTGAAACAGAAGGGGCAGCAATTAGCTCTCTCAATCGTCGTGAGCGGTGGGTTGAGCACTTTAAACAACAGTTCAGCTGGCCTCTTCAACACAACCACTGGAAGCCAGCGAATCTGAATGGATCATCGACACCAACGCACTATCAGCAACCGAAATACGGTATGAGATATCAATCTTGAAGTGCGGTAAGGCTCCTGGCCCAGATGGTCCCGCGGGCTATACTGACTGGAACTCAGTTCCTACAAGTTGAGCCACGCCGGAAAGGCCAACGATGAGGAGCCCGACGAAGGAAGGTGGGTCCCTGAATTGCAAGAAATCGTATTACGAGGCATACTGAAATAGGGGTGTGAAGTCAGTAAGATGTTCCCTTCAGGCGACCAGCACATCAGTAGTTATGGAAGCAGCGATGCTGCCTTGCCCTAGGAAGAACAGGTAAGGGTCGATCCTAAAAAACCTTACATTCAGATAGCTTAATAGTTGATCACGACCACCGTCGCACTAAGCAATACGATCGAAATAATTGAAAACCAGAGTCTTACACCTTGTAGAAGGCACCCGTTGTGTCCCACTAACAGTCAGACAGTTATGCATTACACCCTGCTTCCTAGGGCCAGACCAGCCGATCATAGCCAAATAAGTCAAACTATTGACTCACTGCCTTCAGGAAGGGTTCTTGTGTCCCGTAGCTTAGAGGCTAGGGAAAGTCTCCAAACAACACTTTACCCTATTCCACTGTCTTGCGAGTCAAACGTTTGAGTCAAGGCTCAGGATGAAGTATCCCTCCCAAGCCTCCTTCTCATACATCCGTCATCCAAAGCTTCCCAAATCATTCAACCGACAATCAGTAAAATGCTCCGCCGTATCTAAGCTCTGTCTCAGTAAAATAAATGTAAATAAAAATTTACTGAATGTAAGGGACCTTTCCCGCATTACAGCCTCCAAAGCGCGTACTCTATGTCAAACTAAAAAACAAGTAGCTACCGCTCAGACCTTGTTCTCCCTTTCAATCGATCTATTTTGTGCCTCCGAGATAGACATACAAAACCCCACTTCGGTCATTCAGCTCACACCACTTGAGGAGAACCCAGATTTCCTGCAGTTTACTCTTGAGATGTTTGGTGGTCCTAATGCAACGGTTCGTGGTAGTTACGATGTGAGGGTTGTGCTTAGCCTCAGTGCCAAGTGCGTTTTACTAGAGTGGAGACCAGGTGAACGTCCAGTTCAACCGATTTCTTCCTGAGGGGCCCCATTCTGGTGGCCGATTTGGAGTTGGCACTCACTACACAGAAAACGGGGAGCAACTTCCTTGGTCAGGTGCTGAGCATCATTTGTTACTAGTCAGAACAAGCATTCACGCCGTGATTTCGGGGCTACCAACTGCAAACCAGCGGTAGACTCAGACCACGTGGCAATCAGCTACCGGTGGGGAGCTTCGACACAGGACTTCGCTAACGTCGGAGCAGACCACTGGACTCCGATCACAGTATTGTGCGGGCACGCGTATCTATTCGCTTCCTCTCTGAGATAGGTCGGTCAAATCGCATAATCGTCCAGCACCATTTCGGAGATACTGTCAGGTTGCCCAAGCCTAGACAGGGGCAATCGAGAAGCTGATGTTGGGTTCAAACCACGAACGTTCCGGTCTATTAGCCGGTGCCCTAATCAACGAACTATCTCGAGCTTCGCTGAGGTCGGTTGATGCAAATGCATTTAGTTCGCCACCTGAAGAACGTCTATGTAGCTCAACAATACTGACTTGAGTTGCCTTAGAAGCCACGAAAAGTGGAGAGCATGATGGTGCCTTTAGTGACGAATGAAAATGGAGAAAAGCCACGACCAGTCTTAGAAACCGTCTATCCGAGGCCGTTCGCACAGCCCATGAACGCTGAAGCTCATCATGATCAGCAGCTCTGGTGGTGGTGGTGGTTGTCTGTACTGCAAAATCAGCCGGATGTTTGACGTTCACGAAAGGATATTATCAGACAAGCTGAGAACAACCCAGACTGCTCGGGATGCGGCCATCGCCTTTCGATAAGGGTCAGATTAGGAGTGAAAGCCACAGGATATAATCATGCCAAGGTTGTTTTTCAACTGTACTTCGCCCAGTAGCGCAGTCCAGTCCACTAATGCAGCAGCTGATTCCTACCCACAGACATAACGCAACATCTGGAGTGGTTAAACAGCAGTCACCAGCTGGTAGAACAGTTGTGTAAAGTATCAAAAGCATTCTCTATCGCCTCCACTTGGTTGTTGGAGACGACGGGTGTTCATATTGCAACATATTTTCGACATACACAAGGCGTTCTACCGGGTCAACAGGAAGGTCAGAATTTTTCCATTTTATAAGTATACGCGCTCAATATTCACATTAAGGCGTATTTTTGCCATGCGAAGGAATCATCTTATGTGGGGTTTCATAACATCATGCCAGTTGTTCCCTTCCGTCATATAGGTCTAGGGAATCCGGGGTAGCGCTGCGTCATTATACCAAGGTCCTGGTGCCTCATAATAAGGTTCTGTAAGGCGGATCGTGTTTTTCCTGCCTATAATGCGATCATACTAATGACGAACCCTTTCAAGTGTGCTACTAAGTGTCACTAAGCGCTCCTTATCAGCCGTCAGAGAACGCTACTTGGAGATGGTAATGGACTATTTCCTGCCGAAGAAAAACATTTTATTACGCCACACAAATGAATTGATCCATCGACCGTTTCATCCACAGTGTGAACAATCTCTTCTGATTGGTGAAACTTGGTTTTCTGGGGTCCAGTGGCCGAGTTGAAAGGTCGACATCCAGACGGGATGCACAACTTGCTACCATGCCTCCCAGCTCGTTGGTTGCTGCGGGACAACCGAAGCTTACGGTTAGCTTACCATAACTCAAGTACTTACGGTGAGGTCCCAGTGTTGTGGATGTGGGTTGAATGCTGAGCAAATTGGTATTCTCGGCTATGGTTACAGCTTAATTATGACCTGTTGCTTTGAGAAATATTTCAAGTCTTAAGAAGCTATTTTCTCATCTACGCACTTCAAACCTATAGACTTACCATGGAAAACACCGGAGCCAAACGCGTGATCACCGAATTCGACATAGTTATTGCAAGCAGCCGACCAAACCGAAACCTTGCATATAATTGGACAGGATAGGACAGAGCCGAACAGCATTTAGCTGGTCAGGCTGATTCTTATCCAGCATATGAAATTTTCTCCAAAACCGTTGTGTCTGGGTGGAAAATAGTGAGTTAGAATACTGCATTTCTCTGTCAATTGGTCCGTTGTTCGTTCAGTTGTAAGACTGTTTCAGTGCTTAGCTGCCATACCACCGGAGCGAAGTGTGAAAGCTTAGATAACGCAAGGTTGTCCAAGCCTAGGCAGCAACAGTCAGGATTGCGATTTTGAGTTCGAAACACAAAGCTCCCGGTGAGTATTTTCTTGCCTCATTCACTGGGATGTCTTGAGCGCTTTGTATGTATGTCCAAACCAAATGGCACTGTAGTTTGCACTGATTAGCTCGGATTTTTTAGTGCTCCCCGGATTGATACACAGGATGGAGGCGTTAGCTCAAGCTTCCTGGGTCCGATCTGCTCCTCTCGTTTAGCATCTTTTGTCCATAAGAATTGTGCGACACCACTCGTAAGGTTCTAAACGCTGTGAAGAGAACTTGCCATTACGAGGTTTCAAATGAAAACGCATCCAAAATTGCTCTGAAAATGGTTTTAGGTACATGGTGAACGGCCTTCGATGGGGAGTCTTTCTACATACCAACTGTCTGAAATGCAACATATTTGTTGACAATTTAATTGCGAACCTTTGGCTCGAAACACTTCTTAACATGTCATCGCGGTCTATTAGTTGGGTCTGTGGCGTTTCCGTTTCCCTCAGCACTAAGCTGATTACGAAACTTGAAGTGAGTAACTCGTGATTCGTTACTTTCATTATTCGAGCGTTTTCCCCTTTCATGGTCGACGCTCTAGTGGGGGGGTAGTGTGGCGTTTTGTACCTTTATTTTACTTCCATTATAACACTACGTATTTCATCA